TTGCAGTTAGTAGAGGTCACGTACTGTGAAATGACTAGTATGCAACATGTGAGTAAGAACCTTCAATTATCTCTTTTTAAAATTACGTTTAGGTGAACACCAACCAGTACAGCTTCCTGTCATTAGTGCTTTATTGTCGGTATCTATTTTGTTTGAGTGGTAAAACATAGCCTGTTCCAACAGTGTGTATGCATTTAAAAAAAAAAAAAAATTACACATAAGATGTAAGAAAGAAAAGGAACCCTTTCACTTCTAATTACTATCAGGAACAATTACCATTCCTCCAGAAAGTGCGGAAAATGAAGTGAGTGAAGAGTGAAAAACTGGGTGTAAATTTAACAGAATTTCTATTACTGCATGCCTTCTTTTCTATATACATACATTTTGAAGTGGAGGTAAATTGTAGCATCATTGGTTCTTGTGTTTATATAGATTCATTCTAAATTTAACATTCTTTTTGAGAGCTTTGGTAGTCAGTCATTATGTCATATGTATGGGATGTGCATTTGATACAACCCTGTAAGAAGCAGGAATCCTCCATGAAGTGAAATGTACCTATTCTTCGTGGAAGAATTATGATAATTTCCACAAGTAAGAGCATACATTTGTTGGTAACTTGAAATGATCACTAATAATTCTTGAAACTCCTTTGAGAATTTGAAAGTTCTTTTCCTATTCAAATTAATGCCAGGTAGACATCCTAGATTCTTAAAGATCTTGTAAATTCTCAACCCATACGGTCAGTGAAAAGCATTAAATGAAAGAGAGATCAAAGAAAGGACATATAAATTATGTGTCTTGTTCTTCATTCTTCTAGGACTATCATGGAGGCTTTTTCATTCATTTTTGTATCTTTGCAATCACAAGTTAACAAGAAACAAGTAGGAACATGACAGGTTCAGAACTTCAAGACATCAAACTACAAATATTTTCCAGTTTTTCAAGACTTAAAAACTTTTAATCATGACAATGCTGTTCAAGAATGATGAGAGATAGGGAAATAAATTATTCTTCCCTCATTTGTTTTACCTTAATGAGTGGAAATTTTCCTGGCATAAATGGTCAGTGCAGAATGATTGTCCTAACTCTGAGAATGTAATGAATTGCAACCACTGTAACACCAGTGACCAAAACTGCATGTAAGGTACAGGCGTTACTAATGGAGGGTGAAAGAAGAGATGTAAACTCTGCTCTCTGTTCTGTCCTGAATAAACCTGCGCCCTACTAGTACCCTTAAATTCTTAAAACATGGAAGTGACTATTTGAGATGGTAGTCCGTGAATTTGTAACATAGTTCAAATTGTAGTTTTCCATGAGTAACGGAAATTTCTTTTTTAATAGTTCTTCTTGACTGACTGACTACTGCTGCACAAAAATAACTTTTCTGTATGTTTTTAAAAAGTGATATTGCAGGGATTAATCATGGGGTCTGCGCTTGGTCGGAATTCCTTCTAAAGTCAGTGGCACTTGTGCCTAAATGCAGAATGTGGGAGCATGCCCAAGAAGAGCTTTCAATGCTCAGAAAGCATTCGTCTTCATATTCTGCCATTAGTCCAAATACAAAGTCTGGAACTGCATTTCATGACACGTGCCGCTCCACTAGTTCTGTCTAGAAACAAGCTCTTTTCTGTGTAAAATATTTTTACCCCTTCAAGTCAATATAACAAACAACATGAGGAAAAATAATTTTCTCTGAAAACTTCTTGAATTGAAAATGATGTAAATTTACAAATTCTGACATATGCCCTTTAAAACTTGTGCATCTACTGTTTTTATTTTCATTATACATTACAAGTTATATCCGTAATGTTTAAAAATGTTCTATTCCAGCAAAAATATGGCTTTTAACCAAATAAAAATGTAAAGCCAACTTGCTCTAAAATCCATCTGTTTTTCATTTTCTTATAATCTATAATCAGGAAATCCATTCATACATGACATATAATTTTTGCGCTTTCAAGTGGATAGTGGAATGCGATGTTCTGCATACAGTCACATCTAAATTGATAATTGTCCAGGCAGAGTGTAATTTTAAAGTATAGGATGAAGGAAGGTTTAATTTGTATATTAGAAGTCTTATACATTTTTTTGCCTGTGAATGTAAATGAGGCCATTCTCTTTGGTGGATTTATCTGAAGGTGGGACAGCTGCCTCAGAGCAGGCCACAGCTTTCTGAGTAAAGAGGATACGGTCTGAGAGCTGGTCTAAATGCAGACTTTTCTTAACTGTAAACCACATGCATGCATTCATCATTGATTTTCAAATGATGGGTTTCTGTGTCATTGGTTTAAGGTCTGCAGTCTTACATTCCTGACTCCAGATTATACCAAAAGAATAACAATTTGGTGGCTGGAAAGAGGAATGGTTATTATATGGCTCCAAAATGCTAGCTGGCATAATATGCCATGAACAGCAGAAATCTACTGGTAAAGAGAAGATTGCAGTAGTTCTTAAAAATAATTTGATGTTCTAAAAATATAAATGTAAGAAATGTTATCGCTGTTCAAAATATCTTACATCGGTAGGTAAATAATATAAATGTCTGGTGAAAGTTTCCTAAGAGTAAAGTTTTATACAGATGCATTCTTCCTCTTGATTTTTAATAGTATATTTATATACTATTAAGTATATTATAATATACTATAATAGTATATTTGTATTAAGCAAATATAGAAAATGGGAGTCCTTTCTTGTAAAGGTTTCTATTCTCCAAAAATCACAACTATAGAAACAAACATGTAGGTTACAGTTCATGCTGTTTTGTTGAATATCTTAGGTTGTACATTGTAGAACAAAACAAAAAAACAAAAACAAAACTCCAAAACACTGCTTCTTCAAACAGCTTAATTTTCGCTCTCTGAACAAATTCTTGTCATGCAGCAGATTTCACAAGGCAGTTTTACTTCCTGTTGGTAAAATAGCTCCTGCATGAAACCAGCACCAGAGAAACTCTACTTTTGCTTCAGTTTCTTCTGCTGATCACTTCTCCACATCATTAGCTTTTCAGCAGTCAGTTTGTAAAAGATCGACTTTTAAAAGGCACTGCAGTTTCTACACAAAACATCGTGGTATATTCGAAACGCCACTTCTAACTTCTCCGCCTCTATTAACACATAGCATTAATTAAAGCATGATATGTAGCAAATCTGTGTTGAGAGCAATTGTTCATTTTTTAAAAAGCCTACTGACACAAAATAGAAAATTCTTGACAGTGTTGTGCTATTTTAGCTCAGTAAGTGTAAAATACACTTTTATTCATTAACTCATCTTGCTAACTGTAAGATACTATTAAGGAAATAAACAACAAGATTAACTGTGAAAAATATTTTAATACAAAATTTCCGAGTGATCTGAATGATTATAAACTTCCATCTTAATTACTTTTTGAAAAGGCTTGGGAGATCATCATAATAAAAAGCAGGAGAATAAACAGGCCAGGCCAGACCAGGACTAAATGTACACCACAAATATGGAAGTCAATCTCTTCATGATACTTTTCCTGGGTACTAAAGCCGAATGTTCACAGTTTAGGGTCTTCCAGGGCATTGAGTGGTAGGTTTTTTTATTTAATAGCCTTTGACAAAGTTTTTTTCCATGGATTTGCTGATCTGATAAATACAATTAGCTGATGTGCTTGCGGATTAAAAACATGATTTGATGTTAGTCATGCTTGGACACACTTCATTATCTTAACTGGAAGACAGATTCACTCACATGTACTGTAGTTTTTATGCCCACCTCGTAGACTTTATCAAATTTAGTTCCATAATCCACTTACGTCCCTTAGGACTGTAAACCCCATTTCACATGTGGAAAAAAGTGAGATGCGGAGTTCTTCGCTGACTTTGGGACGACAAAGGAAATTTGAAGGTCCAGGGCTTCTAACTCACCGAGCTCTGCCACACTCACTAGCTCATCTGCCCACACTGTTTCTAGGTTGTGTGTCACAGCTTATGAGCTGTGAACAAAAAATGAGCACAAGAACAGAAAGTCTTCCCTAGCATTTGTTTTCTTGGTATTTATCCATGAAAGTTTTCTCTTTGTGTACTTGTTTTCATGCTATTCACTCTCTATGAGTGGGCAGTTTCTGTATCTCTCTTGAGCCTGTAAAGGCAGAATTTCAAGGCTACACTAAAAAGTCACCTCTTTCCCCAGACTTTGTGCGAGTAAGAGGTGAAACTTGGTAGATGAAATAGGAAGGTCTCATTTTTAGTGAAATGACAGGTCAGTAACCTTATGGATGTATGTTGTCTGTAGTACACGTTGTGGGAAAGACACTTTTTCCTGAAAAAGGCCAATGAAGCATTTGCGTGTCAGAATTGTTCCTGGGGCCTGCAGAAAGCAACAGAGAGATGAAGATGAAAGATACGGTGATATTTTCCAAATAAGGTTATGCTCTTGCTCCCATTGACTTTAGTGATGACAGAATCAGGTCCAGAAAGTGTGGTGAACAAGAGCCAAAAACATTTAAGAATCTTCCTAGTCCTCCCCCTGCCTTTTCTGGAAATTATAGCCTTGCTATACTCATCCTTTGTTTAAAAACAAAACAAAATCATGACCTGGAAAGGGCTGAGTAAGGCCAGGCAGAATCCTCTGTAGTTGTCAAGAAAACACAGCATCGCTTTGACTTTTTTTTTAAACCATAGGATTGCCTGACTTTCCTGATTCTCTCGTAAGGCAAACGTTAGATCTTGGCTGCTTTGAGTGCACAGTATATTGTGCTCTATAATGGAGTTCTGTAAGCAGAGTCATAAAATCAAGTTACTTTCAGCACATCACTGAGATGTCAGCTGTTATGAGAGAAAGCATTTAAGACCAGTTGTTCCAAATAGGGCATTTGTTGTATTTTCCTGTGAAGATACATTACATGACACAGGTATTTACCTTGATTTTTTTAATTTGACATTTTTAGTATTCAATCTTAAGAAATACATTGGCGTTTATTATCCTTCTCTCTTTTTTTTTTCTTTTCCTCTTTTTTTTTTTTTTTACCTAAAAAGGAAATGGATATGGCAACCCCCGCAACTCACCAGGTCTGCTGGTCTCACCTGGCAACTTGAACAAGAATATGCAAGCAAAATCTCCGCCTCCAATGAATTTGGGAATGAACAACCGTAAACCAGATCTCCGTGTGCTTATTCCACCTGGCAGCAAGAATACAATGCCATCAGTGGTAATGCATTTTCAAAGCTTCTTTTTATCTCCTTCACATAAGAGTTATTTAGGAATTTCAAGGTCTGCTCAAGCAACTAAAATCAGCAGAATAACATTTCACATTCTTGCTTGTTTGGTCTTTCTGTCTAACCTTAAGGCTTGACATCAAGCTGAGGATGTAGGCAGAGCCTGTTCGATTGCTTTTATGAAGTCATATTTACTTCCTCCCTTTTTTCTATTGAGTTGCAAAATAGGAACTGTGCTCTGCACAGCCTAAACTTCTGCACTCTCTCTCCTAGTAGCTAGAAGAGCCTTTCCTGGATTTGTTATAAAGGCTGAATTTAACCCTGAGTTTTCCTAACCTACTGTTTTTCTTAAATATTTAGCCACACAGACTCTCAGCAGATGGCAGATTAACTACAAATAAATTAATCTGAACTCTAGCACTTGAGCTCCCAAGGCCAAATTTTGTAATGATAAGAGATGGTAAATAGATGGAGGAGGATAGAAAGATATGAAAATGCTCTATCTCCTGCCAGGATTAACGAAATTTAAGCAGGCTGTTATGCTAGAAGGTTGAATCATGAAGGTGTTGTCTGCCTACCTTGTAGTTCCCTTCTGAAAGTCAGTTAGTGGCTGCAAGTAAATCTTTCATGAGTGATTTAACTTTAAAAATGAGCTTGATTTAAAAAGGATCTTGATGGTAAATTTAAGTGACGCTATAAACACATTTTTTCCGTTATGTAACAGACATTATTAAACTAACTTCCAAGTTGGCTACTTCAGCTTGATGTATGATAAATTAACTGTGAACATCAAACTAAAACCCCCCATATATGTGATGCTGCCTTCTGAGAGGATAAGTAACAAATAGTCTCCTACAGGGCAGCACTCAAAGTCGACCATGGCAGTGACGAGCTGTCTGCATCGAATGATTTATTCCAAGGTCCTTAAAACTGATACTTTCCCAGGGATTCTGCGAATGGTCAGGTCTCCTGAAACCAGGTATAGCAACACAGTCTGCAGCCACTGGGGCTGCGGAAGAAATAATGAATTCTGAAAGTCTTGTGCTGAAAACTGGGTAGATTGTCCTCGCAGCTGAGACAAACATCCCGTTAGAAGGACAAAGAAGAGATCTATGAAGTGATATTTTTCCAAACTGTGCTCAGAAAGTGTTTCATTTGCTGCCCCTATCAGATGAAGCTGTTCCCTAGGCTAGAAATCTGCATCCTGGTAAATATTTATATTCACTAATTTTTAATGCTCCTTTCCTATGCACTCAGTCTGAGGATGTTGATCTGCTCCTGGTAAGTGGTAGTGATGTTCATCTTAATAATGAGGAAAAGAAAGACAGTTCTTTTGTATGACTGATACTTGTGTAGGTCAAGTGTTGGTTGAATTAAAATGGAAAACATTGTCATAGCTATTTTGTGAATAAAAAGTTGATCATAATTTTTGAAATACAGCAGCATGGAAGGCCAGGTGCAGTTGTTGCACATATTCAAATTATGCATGCTAGAATCAAGCTTTCTTGATGCTGGTGCTTTGAGAGTGTTAAACTTGTGCTGTTGAAGAAAGTGCAGCCTTATGAGATTTTATTTTTTTTGGTGGCTCTCTGGTCATTTTATCCTGCCACTCACAGGATTCGAGTTCTCTAGTGCAATTTTTACAGTCCAACATCTAGTGCCCCGGAGTTAAAGATAAGCGTGTAACTGCTGTGCTACCTAACACTCGAAGTTTGTTTTATTGCACAAAAACGAAGTAGTCAGAGCACCATCTGCTGGTAAGAGTTCAGTGTTCAGCAATCTCGGGGTGCCCCTCACTTTCAAAGCATAAAATCCGGTAGGGCTGGTTTTTTTTTTTTTTTTTTTTCGTTTGACTGAAAAGGAAAACAATGGGAATAGAGTTTACATATTTCATTACTTTTTCAGATGATCTGTTCTCCTACCCACAATAAAAGCAATCTGACTTGTTACTAGTTCAGTTACCTAGGAGATACTGATGTAATGGGTTACTATGGTGACAACTGGTCTCTTGAAGGCTTGTAAATGATAGGGTTGGCAGAGTTCATAAAAGCCACATGTTAAATGATTAATTTCTAGAAATTTGTATCAGCCTGTATTTCTCAGTCACAGAACATACCCAGAAAGCTAATACACACAACTGACTTAAAACTAGTCAATAATATGTTTATTTTACTTACTTTAAAAGAATCAGAGGATAAATAACTCCCAGTCTGCTCAGTCATTGGCTACTCCAGTGGTTTCCGTAGCAACTCCTACTCTACCAGGGCAAGGGATGGGAGGATACCCATCAGCCATCTCAACAACATATGGTACTGGTAAGTATGGGTGCAAGATGTAAAGGGTGGGGGAGGGAGCAAGATGCTGACAAATGTCTATCTCAGTACCTAATCAGTTAGCTAATGTTCATTGGGAGAAACTGAAAAATTCATAGCTGATACGCTTTTGCATGGCATTTACTTATTCTGTATCTGCCGCTAACTTGAGATGTACCTATTTAAAAGTTAGCTGGTTTGTTCGAATGGAAAACTATTTTGACAGCTTTCTTTCACTGGCTTTAATAAAGAGTGTAATTTAAGAGACATTTCTTAATGCCACAGGTAATTTCATGTAGTTGAGTGCACCTGTAGTGGGAACAAACAGCTTCCCTGGCTTCAGACTGGAGTCCAGTAACTTTATGGGCTGTCACACGGTAACCTGGGAGAGACCAGAAATGAAGCCTCCAGAGACCCCTTCCAGTCCCCACCGCACGTTGCTGCTGTGCGGAGCACGCTGCCGTGCAGGTCCAGTGCTTTGAGAGAAGACGTGCATTGTTCAGGCACAAGCAGCCTGCTGGGTTCTGCAAGGAAGTCTGTAACCAAAATATTTTTTGTTTTCCAAGCCTTTGACTCTCTGTGAGAATGCATCTGTAGTAATGGTGGATATACAGGCTAAGAATGCTTTGGATCTTCCAGCTCCAGAAAAGCCCTCCTAAATTACGGAATAATTACTAGTGCATTATTTGCTCCCAAGTTAATGAGCTGAGGGAAGAGGAAGGTCTACTTTTTCTGCTGCAACTTAATGTGATTGATGTAATTAAAATTAAAAAGCTTATGAAGTGACATGTGAAAATTACGATGCTAGTTATTGTTTAATTGCTTCCTCTTTAATTCTCTTTTAATTATTGTCTTTTCTGTTTTCAAATCTAGAATATTCTCTGAGTAGTGCAGATATATCATCTCTCTCTGGGTTTAATACAGCCAGTGCTCTTCATCTTGGTTCTGTGACTGGCTGGCAACAGCAACACCTACATAACATGCCACCATCTGCCCTCAGTCAATTGGGGTAAGCAGTGTTTTCTTTATTTGATTGTTCTACAGTGACTCCAGTCTCCCCAGAATTCCCAAATCTGAAATCAGCACATATTTACTGTATGTAAGAGCTCCGTTTCCCAAAACTGGAACTACGTATTTCATTAAAAGTTTGCTGGGTAGCTAGAATGAAATATTCTGTGTCCGTGACATTTTCTCAGTAGTGTAGTATACTGTTGATGTTTTACTCTTTTATTTCTTTAGAGCATTTTATCTCACTACTACACAACAAACTAAACACTTACATTGTGCTGTTGCTGTATTTTGCCATTTATGCTTTTTATTTCCAGTTACTATAGCACAAACATTTACAGTAAACTTGAAAATTTTCTAAATATTTTTAATCAAGTAAGAGTGACATAATGATTTGACTTGAGATTAAGCCTTACACTTATATAATAATCACATACTCTCTTCTGCTCAGCTCTGACATTCAAGTTGCATTTCTTTGGAAATGTTTTCTACAAGCAAATAACATAATTAGGCCTAAAAACTGTAAGCCCACAAAACTCGCTGTGATTTGCCTGTGTTGAGGATAGGTATTCGTGCCCTCTAGTGGCTGATTTCAAGACATTTATTCAATATTGTTGAAGCACAGTGCTAAATCATTTCAGGATATTTAAAAGTGTGAAAATTCACACAGGGAAGTCACCTAATGCATTCTGGAAAAAGCAACCTGTTGGCTCATTGAAGTGAACTTTAAGAGTATGATTTTCAAAAATCCTGGTATCTGCAGTTTCTATTGAGTAAGACCATAGGCACTCACCAGCACACCACACATAGCCCAAGGTATGGCTAGACACGTTTGAATTTTAAAAGATTTCATTATAAAAATAGAAGCTGAAAACAGCTGGAGTGTATTTATGAGGAGAAATGTAATTCACATGCATTTGAAAAGTAAACTTTTTTTTTTTTCCCAGAAAGAGGTGTTACACATATGCGTTAAGTTTTTTTCAAGATGGTTGACATAATATGAAACTATTTAAAACTATAAATGTGGCTTAAACTTCAAAATTCTCCTTTTAATTTATCTGACCACTTTTTGTTACTTACTGTAATTTCTTTACCATGTACAGATGGTTTGGGTTTTTAAAGGACAGCTATACAAATGTTTCAGAGGAAACAAACATTTTTAAACCCCATTTCTATATAAAAAAAAGCATATATAGATACTACCTACATGAAAAATTACAAGTGAAATAGCTGTGCTAGAAAAAAATAGTCTTAATACCTTTCTCTTAATGCTTATTCTATTTTCTTTTTGAGTTTGCACTGTTTCTGGGGCAACATTCAACTGTACAGCTACATTCAACTGTACAGCAACATTCAACTGTAACTGTACAGCTAAAGACATAAAGTCTCAAATAAATTGAAAACTCTCATGTTAGATATCAATGTATAACCTTACAATAAGCTGATTGTTTTCAGTGGTGTACCAAAGAATGTAATAAGGCTATTTGGTTAACCAAAAAAGTATAAATTAAATCCTAAACTAACTACATGCCTTTTCAGATATGTCACACATCGTCATCTGTTTCTAATTCGTATCACAGAATGTCAAAGTGTAATGGCTGTGGCTGGTGGAATTCATTCTGAGTTGCTACTTTTATTATTATTCTTTCAGTGATTTGTAAATGAACTCAGCTACGAAAGCTTCTTCACTGACAGTTCTGGAGAAGTCTTCTATCTCTGCAGAAAATCATTAGCACTTCTTTATTTTATTTTAGTCACTGAGTCCCACACATAAAAGCACCTGTGCTAACTTTCGGATTATTTGAAAAGCTTGAAATCATACAGAACATATTCAGTCCATGTCAACCTGGGGTAGAATTTACAGGGAGGATAAAACAACCACACAAAATTATAGTCATCCCTATGTCTTTGAGAAAATGCATCTAGAAAGGGTTTGACAACCCAGATCCCTGTGCTGAGTACTGGAAAGGTTTGGCAACTGTGAGATGTTTGTTGGTAACAGTAGGCTGTAAAGACAGAGTTACTGGAAGAGGCATCCTAGTTCTCCAGCAGGTTTTGTTTTTCAACGAAGCCTGAAGGTGAAAACCAGCTCTGCTTCCTCAGTGCGTGGCAGAAGAATGTGGTTAGTAATAGAACAGGATATGGCTACATGTATTAACTTGCTCCAGAGAAGCCCCCAACAATTCCAGCAGCACTGTCAAAAGCATCTTTAAGATAATTGGAGAAGAACTCTGCAACCTAACTCTTAACTCTTCATGTTGCCTCTGCAATTAGTGACCATAGTAGTGCCAGTGGGCTTGGGGACAAATAATCTGAAGACATGGGAGCAGTTCACTTTTCCCTGTCTGAGCAGCTCTTGGCCTTTTGCTGAGCCTGGTGAATAGAATAACGACGTAGAGCCTGTTTTGACATGACTGGGACATTAAAACAAGTCAGACTTTTCAACTTTCTAGGTTAAAAAGCAAAATAGTATTTTCACAGTCTACATCTGGAAAAAATACCCACAAATTCTACTGAAAATCAATCCCTTCCAAAACTCTGAGATTTTGTCTGAATGTTGCTGCAGTGTCTCATACAGAGAGGGTTACTGGTTATTTAACATGGACCAAAGAGTCTACCACAAGTTAACTGCCACTAACCAGAAGGGAGTTGATTCCAAACTCTGAAATAAATCATCTAAATTTTTTAGGTATGAGTACATTATATGGAAAAATGTTCTCTTTCATCCATATTTCCCAGTCTAAGAGATAATATTTTCTTCCTTAAGTATCATCTATGGTGAAATTTTGGCTTTCCTAAAATTTAAGTGCAAACAGAAGCAGTATTTTGTCTGAAGGATCTTCAATATAGATAATTGTTCACATAAAAGAAGTCTCTCCAAACTTCTACCCACCTGAACAAAAAAATTGTCCAAATTTATGCAGACTGTTCACTTGTTCTGTGACTCTTACATAGCAAGCTTATTATTTAGCAACAATAAATATTGATAGGTATTAGCCGTAGGCAGCTATGGGCAAATATTCTCCATTGAGCATTTTTACTGAAAAATACAGATGCAGTGACATCATGTTTTGTGACTTTGTATCAGTTCTGCCAACTTCCTTGTTTTCAATAAAAGCCTTATATATTTAGGATTGGGCCTTTTTTCTTATGCCACCATTGTGAATAAGATGCTCCAGTGATTCAGTTTCATATTATTCTTTGCTGAGAAATTTCTTTTTAAAGTGTAGACTTTAACGTGGGAGAGCTAATCAAAATATCTTGACGCAGAAATTCTTATTCTGCTTTTACATTGATCAAAAAATATGAAAAAAAGACAACTTTGCCTTTAACTGAAAGGAAAACAGAGGGGAGGGAGGAAGGTTTTATTGCTAGCAAGTCAAAAATATCCTCTGTTCTCCTAGTTGCAGACTAAGATATAACTAAAGTTACATGACTAAATTTTGCAGTGAATTTTCAGTGGTTCGTTATATATATATATTTATGGGGGAAAAATTATATGAAGTGAGGAAGTAAACTAATTTAGAGAAGCAAGTATGGGCATAAAAGAAAAGGTATGTGAGGCTCTTTCTTCCTTCAACAGACCACTTTCTCCCTCTGTAAAAACCTCTCTGGTGCATGTTTATGTCCTCACTCATCCCCTACTCAGACCTGCACTTCTGCCTGTGCATGCTGAGCTTCGTACCAGTTGGAGGCTGGAATAGATGGAGACACACACAGAACTGATCTCACTGGCATCAGCAAGGACCAAACCCACTTGCAAGCTCGTTGCATGCCGACTTGCTTCCCACCTCTTACACAGCAGAGCAGTGTGGTTGTTCAGTGTTGAACCCAGACAGGAACCAGCATTTCTCCCATGCGGCTGTTGTGCTCTAAATAAACATCACATTTTCACTATACTGGTCTCAATAGGAACTGCTGTATAAAATTAAAACATTAATTTCCTTCATTTTCCCCATGAAATGAAATGTTTTCATACAATATAGGGAAAAAGGCGGTTACGTCAACATGAGTGGACTGCATGTCAGTTATTGAGTGCTTATAATTACACACAGTCCTTTGAAGTCATTTGCTTTATTTTCTCTGTGGATTTTCCATATTCAAAACATGTCTTCCAGTGAACTTAGTGTAAGTTTCAAATGATGAAAGTAGGGCATGCCTGGACCAAAATTACATAATTACATGAAGAAAAAGTGTAAAATATACAATGATAGATATAGATACAAACAGCTGTTTCTACAGTCACACACATGTGTGCATGAAAATAAATAATTTTGTAGCAGACAGAATTCTTATTTTTTATAATACAGCTTCTATTCTAAATAGAGATCAATCCTCTGTTTATAATATGGGTCTAAAGACTGCACCTATGTACCATTTCACCATTCACATCTGTGTGTAACAGTAGGTTTCCCTTGTAATTGGCCATTTTAGCTTACATGAGATTCTCATAAAAATGTTTCCAAAAATTTTAATGACCTAATGTAAATTTTAGTCACCAAAATCAGCTATTAAAATTCAGAAATAGGTTAGCAGAAGAACACTATATGTAAAAAGAAAAAAAAATGTTGAATGATGACTCACGATAACTGCTTTCATTTATTTATAGTTTTAAACCTCAAAAAATTTAGTCCTGAGCTGGCAAAATTGCTTCTTAACCTTTTTTCAATTTACAGAAAATTGTTCAAAATATAGATCAACTGTTTTTTAAACTGCCACAAATTCGTATGCCAAGTATTTACATAACCCCGCTGATGATTCACAAGGAATCCAAAGACAAGTCTATAGAGATGCACTTTTGAAACACTGTTAAAAAAGCAACATTGCAGTATAGCAATACCAGCTCTTTTTCACTGAAAATGCAGCTTATCCCTCTAGATATTTTCCTTTCTGGGCTATCACACAATAGAATTCAAGTATGTTCCATGTGAACGAATTGGACTGAATATGGTTGGTTTTAACTAACACAGGTTTTTTAGCTGTCCTCATCTTTGCAATGTGACATGTCATCTGCTCAGATCAAACACTTCTAAATCAAATCCCCAGGCTCCACCATCTTTTATTATGGGACTTTCAGGTTGAGCTGTAAGCTGTAAGCTTGGCATCTAAAATCATATGTAATTTTATTGCACATGATAAACTGACAGCCTGTTTTCCCAGGTGAAGTCCTAGCGCCTCCTAAGCAACAGAAAAATAAAGTCACTGGAAATGAAAAGCAAAACAAAACAAAACAAAACAGAATGTATTTTTTATTCTTATTAGATTCTTTTCAACAAGGTTTCAGGAAAAGAGTGGAATATTTCACAAAGTTGGAATGACAGAATCTCTTGGAGTTTCTTGTATGTGTTAATTTAATAGTGACAAAAGCACAGAAAATTATCCCTTTGCCAAAAAAAAAAAAAAGCTACATTTGCTGCTGTGAGGGTTGTTACTCATGAACTGTGGCTTATGAAAGGGATCGCTGCAAATTTGGCACATTCATCTGTATAGGAATGAAGTGTAGATAAAAGCAGTTGGAGGTAGAATTCCCTGTTTCCGCTGCTTTCTAACAAGACCCACCCGTTATTAAAGACTGCAATAATTCCTGATGAAAGCAGCTGATACCGTCCAATATTGAAGCTATATTAAAAAAAAAAAAAAAAAAAAAAAGTTCCATTTTAAATCTGTCAAAATCAAAAACAACCTTCTGTCTTTCATCAAAGTTGTAGTAAATGTTGCTGCAGTAAAGCTCAATTCCCAATTGATGAGATATCAGGAAAAGTGGAATATTTCAAGAAATGAAAAGACCACATCGAAACTTAATTGTTTCTTCTACGTTTTTAAAAATTACTTCCAAATCCCAATATTTCTTCTGCTTGAAGTAAAAATGCCTTCACATCACTCAGGGTTTAAAATCTTGTGAGGCCAAGTGGTGGCTGCCCCCACTGCCTTCAGTCTCTCCTTGTATAAATAAATACGAGTAGAAAGCTTGAAATTGTGTTTCTGGGGTTAAACACCATCTTCAGGCTAGCAAATGGTCCCTGAAGTGGATCGTAGTGGGAACTGCATGTTGAGAACTCTTATTTTAATAACGACGGGTTATAAAATCTCAGGTTTTGCCAGGAGGTGGTGCTTTTGTACAAAACATCCTGCAGATGCTAGTGATCTCATTTCTCCCGTAGAGATAAAACGCATTCTCAGTATTCACTCTCCTCCCTGCTTGTTTCAGCTTTCCTCTGCCACTGCCTGCCCACAAAAACGCAGGGAAAGAAAGTGAACTTAGAATATATATAGCTTGCCTTTGACAGAGTTTTAGCGTAGCAGTTTCTCTTGATGCTAGGAGCATCGTCTGAGCTGGGCTCTCCTACAGGCAAACAGTACAGTCCTCTGACATCTTCCACTACTCTTCAGCTTCTCTTTGGTAGTTTATTCAAAAGCATTCTGAACTGAGCTATAAAGTTACAGATTTAAGGCATAAAATCATATCTAAATCCTCGCCTGCCTGTGCTGTTTTATTAATGTCAATCCTAGGACCAGTAGTTTCAATGCTGTTCTGAAAAGTATAAAATGTACCTGGCCCTAAGCTTTGTTTCTGTTTTGCACCTGAAGTCGCATGTCAGAATGAACAGCGATAAAAATAGTTGAGTGCCTTGAAACTAATTGGATTAATCCCAGCAGAAAGTCCGTACCTCCCCTGTCTCAGCCGGTGCATACACACACACAAGCATTAGTTATAAAGAAACCTGCCGGTGGTTCCAACAGTGCAAAGGCTCGCCTTCCAAAATTTGTTGTGACACTTGAGTCAAAAAAAGGAGAAAGAGGGAGAGAGAGAGATTGAAAGCGAGACCTCCTTTCAAACCCAGGGCATGTCCCGCCCAAGCCAACCACGTTTGTTGTGATGCTTTCATCTCTGAATTTGTGAATCCTGCCCTGACAGCAGTCCTTGTGCTCCATGCATGCGCTGGTCCTGCGCGAGCCTTTACACTGGTGTTTTGTGTGAGTGTTTGTGCATATCTGGGGGCTCCATGCCTCCTCCGTCTGTAACTGGGTTTCCTTTCCTCCTACAGAGCTTGCACTAGCACTCATTTATCTCAGAGTACAAATCTCTCCCTGCCTTCTACTCAAAGCCTCAACATCAAGTCAGAACCTGTTTCTCCTCCTAGAGACCGTACCACCACACCCTCGAGATACCCACAGCACACGCGCCATGAGGCGGGGAGATCTCCTGTTGACAGTTTGAGCAGCTGTAGCAGTTCCTACGATGGAAGTGACCGAGAAGACCACCGGAACGAATTCCACTCCCCCATTGGACTCACCAGACCTTCGCCGGACGAAAGGGAAAGCCCCTCTGTCAAGCGCATGCGGCTCTCTGAAGGATGGGCGACATGATAACATTATTACCTATTAGGGTTTTTTTTTTTTTTTCTTGCAGTGTGTGTGTGCTATACCTTAATGGGGGAGGGGGGGTCGATATGCATTATATGTGCCGTGTGTGGAAAAAAAAAAAAAAAAAAAGTCAGGTACTCTGTTTTGTAAAAGTACTTTTAAATTGCCTCAGTGATACAGTATAAGGATAAACAGAAATGCTGAGATAAGCTTAGCACTTGAGTTGTACAACAGAACACTTGTACAAAATAGATTTTAAGGCTAACTTCTTTTCACTGTTGTGCTCCCTTGCAAAATGTATGTTACAATAGATAGTGTCATGTTGCAGGTTCAACGTTATTTACATGTAAATAGACAAAAGGAAAACATTTGCCAGAAGCGGCAGATCTTTACTGAGAGAGAAAGCAGCTGTTATGCAACATATAGAAAAATGTACAGATGTTTTGACAGACCCAGCGGTTGGGTGGCCATGAATCGATGCTAGAAAGAGACTGGGTCACCTACCATCCCGAAAATGCTCACAAACATGCAGGCGTATCATCAAGAGTATGGCACTCAGTTAAAAAGGAACATCACATTTAAAGAGGACCATACTAGTAAAATTGTTGAGTTCGAGGGCTGACATATTTAATTTTAAAAATTCTGGGTCTGCATCACTTATTAAATTAAAAAAAAAAATATAAAAATATGTACATTACATTTTGCTTATTTTCATATTAAAAAGTAAGACAGAGTTTGCAAAGCATTTGTGGCTTTTGTAGTTTCCTTAAGCCAAAATGTGTTCTTTTTTCCTTGATAGCTTCGCTAATCTTTTAAACAGTCCTGATGAAACAAACAAAAAAGGACTTTTTGTATAGAAAGCACTACCCTAAGCCATGAAGAACTCCATGCTTTGCTAACCAACATAACTGTTTTCTCTTTGCAGAAGTTTTGTTTTTGAAATGTGTATTTCTAATTATATAAAATATTAAGAATCTTTTAAAAAAATCTGTGAAATTAACATGCTTGTGTATAGCTTTCTAATATATATAATAATTATGGTAATAGCAAAAGTTTTTGTTATCTTAATAGTGGGGAATTATATTTGTGCAGTTGCACATTTAACTATTTTCTTTCAGTTTTCTTTTACTGGGTATACGTTTTACAGATCAAAGTCAGCTCTTGAAAGACTGGTCTGTAAAAAGATAGAATTTACCCATGGTGTAACAACTTAAATCATTTTAATACAGCATTTTACAATCAGTTGGGTGAACTGCGAACCATTGTATATACTGATTAGTTCTTTCATGCTGTTTTGTGCATTGTAACAAGATAAGGGCCCTTCTATTACTCATGTCCTGCGTATCTTGTAGTTTTTCCATGGGTTAAGTGACAAAGTGGCATAACTTGGCCCTTTCTCATTAATGAAGCTGGTATTCTGCCTGTCAGAATTGGATGTACAGCTCTAACGGCTGTCAGTTACGTGAGTGCAGGTGAATATTTGCGGAAGCAGTAGGGAGAGTTAAAGGGAGGGATTGGCACAAACATGCCTGTTGTAAAGATTACTCCCTTCTCTCGCAGATTTAAAACTCTTAGAGAGATCATCCATTAAAGGACTGTTCAGAAGTCGACTGATCTTACGCAGCCAATATTGGCCATCAGGTCCCTGGTTCCCACGGACCTCTGCGGTTACGACATCTCACAGCGGGCACGTTGTTGAACAACGCTCCCTGTGTATTTGCAGCCAAGCAGGATTTGCTTCAGCATATGGCATCCACATTTTTCTCCTGCCTCGGACTGTTCCTTTGACTAAAATAGCTTGACGAGAGGGAATGTATCACTTCTTTAAGTAAGTCCCTCTTGTTTATTAGAAGAAAGCGGTATACTCAAGTGTTTCAGTTTAATCTTTCTGTTGGAAGGAAAAAGTGTTCAAACAAAATGTTAGTGCCATAGTAAAACTGTAATATTCTCCTTTTTCCAAGAGTCCTTCCAACTCTCACCTACATTGACACAATGATGAAGGATATAGCTGCAACAGCTAAATATCAACACAGAATATTTTGTTAAGGGAAATCCACACTCTGTTTCCCACCTCCACACGCAGTTGCTGTGCACTGCGCAATGATAGAGCGTACCTCTCTGTAATAGAGAATGATGATGAGACTACAGTGTGCATTAGGACATACGCTTTTCACTTATCATGACTTTATAGAAGCCTGCCTTACAGGCACTCTCAGCTGTGCAGGGGCTAGTGCATAATCTGGAAACTCTTTAAGCAGAATACTGTGCTACTGATGCATCCATCTTCTCTCGTGTAGCAATCCGCAGGGTAAAGAAAAAGATACGCATGTTTTAAAAAAAAAAAAAAACACCAAAAAAACACAAAAAAGCAAACAAAACCAAACAAAAAAAAAGGTAAAATGGGGCCCATAATTAATTTTAAAACACACAAAAAAAAACCCACCTGTTTTTGAAACCACTTTCTTCACCTTCAGATGAACCTATACTCATATTCTCTTCTGAGAATTTTAAACTTTGGTGTGTCAAAAATATGCAAATATATCACAAATGTACCTTGTCATTTCAAAAAAAAAAAAAAAAAAAAAACAACTTTATCAGTATTGTAGTAGAAACTTGTCAGTGGGGAAGGGGATTTGGTCTATTGATATATGAAGAATAGCCATATTAATAGTTTACCTTGCGATTTGCCTCAGCAACGCATGAAAATGGAAAGATATCGTATTTAACGAAGATGCAGTGTAATATATTACTGCAAGTAAATAAGCAGAAAGTAGCGTGAAAAGTATTGCCTGGGCAATTTATATTAACTCTGACAGTGATTTTTTTTGTATAAACACAAGTAGAACAGAATCACGTGAAAATAAATGCCAGTCACCCCTCTTGTTCCTGCTGCAGAGGGCAACTAACTTATACTGGCAAAATTGTGGGGGATAATGCATATTTGCAAACTGATCTAATGATAAGAAGCACAACTTTGATTGTGAAGTCACTTTCTGTAAACTATAACTGTCTACCTTTCTTGTTCCTTTATCTGTACCTTACCATTTATTGTATTTGCAAAGCTAATTTGGGTTTATTGTGTGATTCCTTTGTATTTAAGGAGTTTGGGGCAGAGCCCTGAAAGAGTATTAACATTTACTTTACCTTAACCCATGCTATATAATGTTTTAGGCAACATTCTTAATTGTAAGTTGAAACACCTGAAGTGGCATTCTAGACATCTGCAAGTATTGTTATAGCTAAGCTAACCTCTATTAAAAGGTGTTGTCAGTTAGTGTTTAATTGCTGGTGACAATTATATGATATACCCTATCTGCACAACCTGTATATTGTATGCATTGAGCCATTCGCAGTAAAGCTTTTGTCATTTCAGTGTTTTTCAAAAGTTGTGTTTTATAACAAAATGGCTTATATTTTTCCCAGAAGAGGAATTTAGCAGTTTTTAATGAATAATATAAAAATATCTGTTGTCCTCAGATCTTTTTCAGGTAAAGCTAGCGTAAGAATAAAAGAACTCATAGACTGTTTTCAAGGATGTCAACCCTTTTGTATTGTATGTGTTATCCTATATACCCTCTTTTATCTATAGTCCTAACAGAGCTGTTTTGTTTTCCTTCTTCCTTCGCCTTGAAGGTAAATGCTTTGTAATTTTTTAAAAGCCACTTGAAACCTCAATAAAGGCTGTTGCCTAAACATGGCATACTTCATCTGTTCCTGTTTGTGCCATCTGCTGTGATGTCGTCAGTTATATGGCATTAATTTCCTGCCACTACAGGTCTCTTGAAGGACTGATGGAACATTGGTATCTGTTAGAATGCTTCAGACTGTAGATGTAATAAAAGGCTTTTGTTAATATATTTTAACCAAAGATGTGGAGCAATCCAAGCTTTGAGCCACAGACCTTCTGCATCAAAAGTATCCGTTTGATTATTTTCATAATCAGGTGTTGCATTTCTACCTTCCCTTCTCATACCTCAGACTGATCCGTACCTCAGTTTGATTCAAAAAAGGTCAGTTAAGTAACTCATTTAAAAAAAAAAAAATTAAAAAAAAAATGCAGTACCAGAGTCTTTTGTGGAGTAACTAATATCAGACCTGGGTTACCGCAGGCATTACACTTGGATTGCTTCAGATGGTTTGTTGTATCCTTTTTTTCTTTTTTTCTTCTCTTTCATGGGGATTTGCTTCCATAAAACAATGGTGATAACAAAAAAAAAAAAAAATAGCTTGTAAATGGGAGCATACAAGCATTTGCAACAAATATTAAAGTAGAGGCTCACAGCGGCATAAGCTGGACTTTGTCGCCACTAGATGACAAGATGTTATAACTAAGTTAAACCACATCTGTGTATCTCAAGGGACTTAATTCAGCTGTCTGTAGTGAACAAAAATGGGAAAATTTCAAAAGATTCTCCTGCTGGAAATAAGGTATAATTTGTATTTTGCAGACAAATCAGTAAAGTTACTGGCTTTCTTAGTGATACGGTGTCTGTGGTGCATTTTTTTATTAAGTAATGTTCCATTTTCACTGTTTTGCACTGTAACACACGAAAGAATCAGCACTTTAACAACCGGCAGCTGCCTCCAGGTCCCTCTGCCTGTCACTTGTGCTTGCTTAGAAAGTTAAGCACCTTTTTACGGTGCCCTGAGCACCTGGGTGCCTCACAAACATTAATGCCCCACCACACATCATCCCACCAAGTCAGAGAAACTCCATGACTGCTCTGAAAGTTGGTGTCACTTTGAATGAGGGCATCTGAATCTGGCCCTGACGTCTGAGCTAGCAGAGGGGCTAGGAATCCAGACTCCCGTGTATACATCTCCTGTAAATTCTACCCATGGGGAGAACCGTGCGAAAACCCTGCAGAAAAAGCATGTTCCGTGTCAAAATCATGTATTGTTCAGTCTGTGCTTTATATATGTATATATCCTTTAACATGTTAACTTCATAGGGGCTGCGTCAGAATTAATCTATTCCCTTTTGTGTACCTTTTTTGTTGTTGTTTAATTTTTTTCCCCGCTAACATTTATAGTTTTGGAGTCTCAGAGTACAAAGATCACTTTATCTCAACAAGGTGTTTTTTCATGCCAGAGGCAGACAAGCTATTAATAACTTAAGGTGATCGGTGAATATTTTCAGAAATAACATTACAAGGCCTAGTTTCTAAATGTGTTTATGAAAGAAAACAGCCGTGCTTTTATTTACCTGTTGCTTTTAATGACAATTTTTTTTTTTTAAGAGAAGCATTTCAAGTATTGCAGTGTTGGACACAGCATAATAATTAGAGGCTAAGATTAAATGTCATTGGTTTTACTACATAATACATTTTTCTCAAGTAAATCACTTCTTGCCATCGTTGGTAAGGATAAGCAAGATATTTCTAGAAATGTTGAAGTGTCATACTCTGAAATCTTGGACAATTTGTATCTGGGAGTCCTTGCTTCTGCAATCAGTCACCTGTGTGATTAATACTGATAATGTTATACCTGCAGTGGAAAAGGAATTACTGAGAAAATAGTCTGGTTTATACTCTGTTTTGTTATTTATCAATCCAGAAAAATAACCGTGCATATTCTGACTACTTTGCTTTAGATTCTATGATCTATATGCATAAACGATTTTTTTAATTGTGTGTTGCAGTAGAAGTGGGGTGGTCACGACTTCTTTAAATACACTTTCTCACTTTAGACTCACGTACGTCATTCTGAAGAGCGATTGTAGAGTGTATGGTCTGAGATAACTAAGCCGCATACCTTCTCCATACAACGGGTTTGCTTTCCTTCCAAAGTTACTTCTTCTTTTCTGTAGCAAAAATCAACATAACATCTTTCTAGAACTGGGAAACTACGCTGTTTATACCTCTGCTTGTGGTCGATGTGACCCATTCACACCTTTCTCAAACGAAATGCCTACATTTCCACCGGTAACACTGTGGTCAAGAGAGGGTCCAAGGAGTAGCAAGGTGGAATGGTTTTAAAACAATCAGATCATTAATGTATAAAGACGCAAGAAAAACATTACTCGTGCCTCTGTTGACAAGCATAGCCTATTCCTCAATAATTCAGTGGAAATTGCAGACCAACGCAGCAAGGCTTGACCTGCTCCATGAATGTTCCCACCTACACATATAAATGAACTCCGTTTTTCTGGAGTCCCTGGTTTTGGGAAGCTCAAGACTGCTTAGCTGAGGGAAACTCGGGCTACATTTATTTGGTGTTCATGTATTGCACTTAACACTTTACACCGAGTATTCAGAGCACCTGCAATAAGTAGATCTATACTGCGTTCTCTGCAGTTCATGTAAACACAGCCAAGGTAACTTTAACTGTTAACAGGCATTATGGCTAACGGTACTGAAGAAGGTATTTCCTCCTCCTCTTCCAGCAGATTTTGCAGCATGCTTTGGTTCCATTCAGCATCACCTTAATTGCTAGAGACAGCTCGAAGCTAACATGAGGATGCTTGTGCAAATGATGCGTTTGAAATGAGTACCTTGGCTCCCAAAGCTTTAAAGTGTGGTGTTCTAATTGTCCTTTCTACCCTCTTCTTTGTACTTTTGTCTGTGATTCTTTCGTAGCCTGCCCAGATTTTTCAGTTTCAAGTATCCGTTTGTGTTTGTCTGCACAATGATCCATAAGCCGGTCTATGCAACAAAACCTATTGCCTCAATTCTGGGGGTTGGTGGTTGATCTCTGTTAGCTGTGATGGTTTCACTTCTTTGAAGACAAGAAGTGATGCAATAGAACATTTCACTGTGTGGGAAATAAAAGTGATAAAACTTAAAGGTAGTATATTTGCATGATAAACAAAATTGGTATGAACCACAATTTTATAATGACGGTACATTACATATCTAATTATTTTCTGCGTTTAGGAGAGTTGCTGAGGACAGGTTGTGCACTCTCACGGTAAAAGCACAGCATCCTGTGACAAGTGTGTACAAAGGTGTGTTGTATCATCAAAACTCAAAAGGAGGAAACAAGGAAAAAGCATCTGGAATCTGACTACAGAGAGCTGACAAGCCAAGGTACAGCACTCCGACCACCAAAACGGCCAGCAGAAGTGCAGCTGGTTACATTGACCAGGTTGCGTTTTGAACCACTGAGAAAATCATCACGAAGGAATGAATTCAGTGTAAAAGGAAAAAAAAAAAAAAAGGGAAAAAACACACCACATACATTTCTGCCTTTCTGTGCCTGTATATCTGAATACATGTCAAAAGAATGGTGCTTGAAATTCAACCCTTTTGTTTTCCTCTGACACTTATTTATCGGGGAATACATCACTTTCTATAATTATATTTTACTGTATTACATGACTGGACAAGCTGAAAACAGGTTCCTGGCCTTGGTGTGTTTAGTTCATGGTGGCCAAGGAAAAGCAGCCTGATTTACAGCGGTACTCTCAGACTACGGAGACTGAACTTTCGCTCAGCAAGAGACATAAACTTGGAGGAGATTGCACTGCGGCCGCTGCCTCGCAGCAACACTCTACACCTTCAAAGATAGACTTGTGAAAATACAATGCATGTGGCACTTAGTCATCTGAAGTAAATTTATCTCTACTTGGCAGAGGCCCAAGTCACTTTTTTGTGACTTTTTACACTATGTTAGAATTTTTTTTTGGAAAGGAACTGAGAGCTAGAAAGTATTGTTGTGACATCCTTTGCAGATGTGTTGTTACAGTGGGAAACCCTGATCTAATACACCAAAAAAAAAGGTATATAGAATAAGATGAGCTGGGGACAAATCTGCTTGAAAGGAGAAATTACACAAAATGCGAGTTTTCAACTTGGAAAAACAGGTGAATGAGAGAGTGTATCCTCATATGAATGGTTTGGAGACAGCAGATGTGCAGGAAACTGCTACGTGCTCTCTCAAAAACAGCAGAAGCAAGGGCTGTCCAAAGAAACCATCAGACAGCGGGTTGACAAGGACAGATGATGACCGTGTTACATGTAATTAAGTAGTGGGACTTGCGGCCATAAAACATGGTGGAAACCAAAAGCTGGGGTGAGTTCATGAGGGGTTAGATAAATTAAATGGGTGTAGCTCCATTTGTCCTGTTAAGCATGATGATACACTTACAGTTCCCACCTGGGGTAAACAAAGATTTTATACAGCTTATTTCTGGAAAATGAGAGGGAAGGGAGAATTCATATATGCTTTTTGTTTGTTTGTTTTTGTGGGGTTTTTTTGTTCTTCCCCCTGAAAATCCCCTACAGACCACTCTCAGGGAGAAGATAATGAGATAAATGGAATTCTGATCCGATCCCATATGGCAGTTCTTGTGTCTGGATATCACATAATATAACCATCCTTCTTTTCCCAGCAAACCCTTTTCTTTTTCAGACTATTGATTTTACAGTGCTAGAAATGAATACAGTACAAATGAGGCAGCCAGCATGCATAATACGCCATGAGCTGAAGCTGTCAGGCCCTTCCGTTTAGCGTGGCTTTGCTTTTTCAGTATTGTGAGGCACACACACTTGACTGAAGTGTAAACATGCACCTGTTTATTTATTCCACAACAGCCGGGAAAAATTAATAACTGCGTAAACTACAGACACACAAGTACAGTTAAGGCTATGTGATCGACAGAATTAATGTGCACGTTCAGGAATGAGACACGTGAGGTGTGTAAGTGTGGGGGTGGGAACTGAAAACCGAGAAGTGGTACAAATACAGACCTGGGCCTGTAATTTCACTCACCTGCTGTTCAACCAAGCATCAGAACTTTGCTCAAAAGGCGGATTTGTAGTTGTCTGCAAAGTGCCAGCTGATGCACTGGGACTGCTTCCACCATGAAAAAAAATGTATGTAAATATGCCAGTATTAGGCATCAAACTTTAATTAATAAAACACATACACATGCAGGGTAAATAATGAAATCTTTGTTCACTGTCGGAGTACCCAGCTATACAGGAAATTCCATGGAACAGCATTATTGGGAAATGTATTCCGCATGTTCACATCAGGGCTTAAGGCTGCTTTTGCAAGCAGCCCGTTGGACCAGCGTGCAAACGGATATGCCATCTTTTTTTTTTTTTTTTTTTAATATCTAGACTGACTAATTTAACAAAGGATATGCTGTAGTTTAATCAAAATTACAGGGCTAAGTGCAGAAACTTGTGAGAGAAATTCCATGGATATGTTACACAGATCAGACTCAAGGGCTGCCAGATGATGATTTCCTCTGCCTCTAATAGCTTTGAGTGCAGACTGAGGTATCAGTTTGGAGTTTCCAGAAATTGTTTCATATCTCTGAGACTGTGAAGTGAGCAAGTTTATTAATAGTCTAACCGTGAAATCATTTAGTGAGAGTAATTTATCAACTCATGAGAAATGTTCATGACAGATGCAGAGTAAATGTAACAATAATTTTTAAAAATCTATCTGTTATTACCTTAGCACATAGCAGCAAAGGCTGAGTCCGTCTCAAACACAGCCTCCTGCAATGACCTCTCTATACCCTTTGAAT